TTTAAAAATAAAATATAAACTATATATCACTCTAACTAGTTTTAAATGTTTACATAAGTGCATTTAGTCATTCACCCATTTAATATCATTTATGTCTTTTTTTTAATTACCTAATGTCTGGCCCTGTGATAGAGTCTATGGGGGGCTATAAACATATATCAGTTTCAAGAAGCTCATTTTGTAGTAAGGAAGATAAAATATGCAGAGGGATAACTATGATATCATGCATAGCAAGACAAAGTACAGAGAAATGCAACTAGAATGTATAGGATTGTCTCTGGCTGAGAATTTACTCATTCAACAGACATATGAATTGCTACACATGCTGAGCCCTGATCTAGGAACACACAGGTGAGCAAGACAACAAAAATCTCTGCTCTTTGAGGCTTAAATTCAAATGTAGAACTAGGAAGCTTTCTTTTACTGAGCTATTCAACATTATTTAGTGGTTCCTGTATGCAAGGCGGGCACTGAGAATAGAAAGAAAAATGAAGATAAATGACACTGATCTCATGGAGAAAGCCACATCTGAATTAATCTTGAAGGTTGAGTAGAGCCGAGGAAAGTGGAGAGGACATTCTAGGGCTGAGTGAAGTATTTCAAAGGGGTAGAACAAGAACTCGATAGAGTTTTTCTGGAAAGGAAATAGTGAAATATGAGGTTATAGCCAAAATTATATGGGGTTAAGCATCAAAGTACATATATTTTGCTTCATTTGTTTGCTTGTTTAGTGATGAAGCATCAGAGGAAAGCAGTGATTTAGTAAAATCTACCTTGGGACAATATGTATGGAATGGGCTAATGTGAGAAAAGACAAAAGTGGGAGGGCTAGTTTGAAGATTGTCAGAAATATCCCTGGATAATATATAATAAGAGGCTGTAAAATGGAAGTGACTTTATAAGATAGAATGAAATACTATATTTGAAAGGTAATTGCAAATTTATTTAATAAATCAGAATTGTCTAATTTAAACAGTCAGTTGTCATTGAATGTGCTATCTCCTCAGACATAGAAATAAAAAGAAATAGGGATAGATTCCTCTAATGTTCTTCTAATATTTTGCTTAAATTTATTAATTTTACAAAAGAACTAAATTTATTTGTACATGATCCTAGATTAAGAAATATAACTATGAATCATTTTAAGACTCAAAAGAAGTATTCCTTTAGTTAGTTTTGATAATAATTTCCACAAGTGGGGAAAGATAAATCTTAAAGAACTAAAGATACTGCAATGGGAAAACTATTTTTCCTATTTTTACTTTAATTTTGAATCTCTTCAAATAGTAAAAGTTGGCACTGTATATATTACATTAAAGCATCTTGCGTTGCAAATGAGTCAAGCCAGGACCTATGGGTTTTTTACATCATTTGTCATGAAGTCTCTCTAGAATATATAACTATTTCTGATATGCCCTGTTTCAACAACACATCACGGAAGGAATTTGAATTTGGGCCCATGTTTCTGGCACATAGGGCAGTGATACGAGAAAGATGAAGGTTCACTATGGCACCACCCATAGGAGTGCGACTTCAGACTCCCTACCTCAGCTTCAATCAGAAAAATCAAGAGATTTAGTTGCACTTATGTCTCATTATCTGTGTGCTGCAGGTTGAGAATAATTGTTGAATAAATTAGCATCAGATCAGAGAGCATGAAATTAAGGACACAAATAAAGTGAGTTGCAACATGGTAAATTAAAAACAAGCTGAACACTTCCTAGGCTGAACATCAAGAGGTACATTTATTAAGGAGAAATGCAGTTTGAGTTCACATAGAACAAAAAATAGGACACAAATATTTTAAATATTTTCATTTTGTTTTATGTATATGTGTAGCTTCATGGCAGCAACATCAAATAGAATATTTGATTAGGAGATTGGAAATTTCAAATCTGTATTCCCAACTGCAGTACTGTTTTTTTAGACTAAAATTTACAAAATTTACATATGATCACTTGTTGATAAAGGTTTTAAGTGCATATAAAATACATGACAAATTTAGTTGACTTAATATGAGAAATTCAGTTGTCTTAGTTTGTCTCAGTCAGGACCCATTCACACTAAACAAGTTCTATAATAAATCAGGAGTTTATAAATTCAGTGAATATTAATTGTAATAATTTTGGGGTGTTGTCCACTAGTATCTGATGCATTCACTTAGGTTAAAATAAATATTTATTTACTACTTTAATTACCTGCAGTTTTATTCACACACACACATATACACAAATATATCTTAATTTAATCTGCACAACCATCTTACAAGTTAGGTATGATTTCCTTTTTTGATGATATTGAGGCTCAAAATGTTTAACTGACCATGGATTGGTTTAACTTTAGGTATAACAGGCTTACATAAATATTTAGGACACTGCCTTTGTCTTCACGGAGCAGACTTTTTTTTTTAGCTAGGAAGTTAAAAATATATGCAAAAGCGACAAAATTAAATGAAAGATTTGAATAAGAGTTTTGGCCAAATGAAAGATCATTACAGACAACTGCAAAAATCTGTACTTTGACACAGGGTTCAAAAGAAGAAGGGATTACTTTAGGGTGAAGTGATGAGGGATTGTTTCATGAATGTGATGTGATTTGAACAGGGTTTTGAAGGAACTGAAAAGGTAGTGAATAGGAGGGTGTAAGTTTCAGAGGAAGAGGAAATGTAGGTAGGTCAAAATATCAAGCATGTTAAAATGGACTAAAAAATAATGCATGTGAAGGAGCTCAGAGCAGAGGAAGAGATAAAACGGGAAAGTAATAACTATATATTGTTTTAGTACCTATTCTTTGCCCTGTCCGTTCTAAACTTTACCTGTATTAATTCATGTCCCCTTCCCAACATCACTATCTATTCTTAATCCATGTGACTGGCGAAGAAACTACATTTCTGAATGTTTAACTAACTTGTTCAAAGTCACATAGTTTATGGCAGAACCAAAATTACAATACTGTCTTCCATAATAATAATAGTGATCTGGCACTGTTCTAAACATTACATCTGAATTCATTACAGAAGGTAAACTGGCTGCCTACAGAGCTTCACATTTACCCTGGGTAATAAGAAGTCATGGTCAGAGTTTATTTGAGGAAGTTAAATTTTTTGGAGGACGCCATATTAAGGATGAAATGAAGAAATTAAATGTATCAAATATTTGCCTACTATTATTACCATGACTATAATTAAGAACTATGTTTTATATTATATAGTATTCATTACTGCATAGGAAATAACAGTAATCAATTATTGTTATAATTCTTGTAGTATCTAGCACCACAAGTTATCACTGATGTCCTTTTAAGACTTTCCCTTCAGACGAAATGTAGTCACACTCAAATTCTGATTTCATTTTATTATACCAGTGACCATCTTTTTCACATCATATTCTTATTTCAAACATTCCTGCTCTTTCATCATTGGGTATAATTTTTATAAAATATTTTAATTTCTTACATTATTAAAAAAACATATTTTTCCTTGTTTTCTACCTTTCTTTCTATTGTCCCTTCCTCTCACTTTTCTTTAGGAACTTATTTGTTCCTCCTTGTCCTCCTTGCTCCAGCAATACCCTCTTTGGGTTACTGTCAAGGGGGTAATAAAGTATGGGCATATATGCAACTGGAGGAAGAAACACATCTAAGTTTTGAAAAAAAAAACAGGTCTGCAGGTTATTTTATTCCTATGCTACATTCCTCTATGAGAATTCTTACTGGAAATAGGTATCTCTTTGGAAGGTGGGAAAAAACAATCTAGCAATATAAGCTGATTCAAAAGTTCAGCCAATCATCAACATGATACTTTCGCTGTGATCTGTTTTAGGGCTTTTAAGGGGCAGCTACCTTCTCATCTGTGACTTGTGAATAAATCATGTTTTGGGAATTAACTTGTTATATACCAGGCAAATATTTTGACTTGCTTCTTTTGTCTATACTGTGAAAAAGTTGTGTTTTTATTGTTACTATTTTGTTTTCCATATTTAAAAGCTAAATAAGTGGGTATTCAATCTGCTTATGTCAATAAGTGGCATAAGTGGATATCTAATAATTTGAAATGACGTAATAGATTGATGGCATTTATTGAATACATATTGCTGGTATGCATATTTGGCATATATAATTTAAAATTTGGTTAATAGCAACTAGCAGGTGAATAGATGATTGAAAGCAAGTCTAAAGAATGTTCCTTGCTAAAATTTTTAGGTGATTTAGAAAATGGTGAGTAGATTATGAAGAACAAAGGAAGAAATGAGAATACATAGAAATGTCAAAGGAAAAAAATGAAATTAAATAAAGACCTCAGTCAGGTGGCCCAAAAATACTTTATTGGATGATTGAAAAATTATGTGAACTCTTTATATCGGGAAGCTCATCACATAGCCACATTTATAAGACATAAATACAAATTTAAAAGAGATGTGAAAATCCAGATATTTTTGAGTAAAAATTAAATTTTCTTTAAGAAAAAAATTAATCTCAAGCAATTTTTTCCAGTCTTCTGTGGCTGCTGCTTTCCCTAAAATTATTAAAATATCTCAATGAAAAAAATGAATAAAAGAAATACATCTGTCTATAAAGACCAGTTTAAAAGGTGGCAGGACACATATGATTATAGTGATCCTATTAAATGTTAAACTTCAATACCTCAGTCAAAACGTTGAAGTTAATATTTTATTAGGATAAAAAGTGAAAAAGCCAGAAGAAAAAAAAATGTTGATACCTTTACTGCTTCTTTTATCTGGATACATTTTCTCTGGCAGTGAATTCATTGTAAATGAGTAAATACATATGTTTTGAAAAACTAAATAGAAATTGAGGTCCTATTAAAGATTAGCTTGGACAAGAATCTACTAAAATACAAGGCAATTATTATTAATATTAAAGAAAATTTTAATAACATTACTGTGGCTACTTTTCTTTTTATCCTGAAATTAATAATAACCTATTAGAAGACACCCAGATTTTCATGATACACATACACATATAATTTCTACTGTACTTACTTTTGGTCACAACACCTTCTAAGTGAATGATGTTAGGATGATCAAACTGCCCCATGATACTTGCTTCACCCAGGAAATCTCGGCGTTGCTTTTCTGTGTAGCCTACTTTCAGGGTTTTGATTGCCACAGGTAATTCTCTTTTTCCTGGAAGTTTCAAACGTCCACTACAAACTTCACCAAATTCACCTTGTCATAAAGATGCAAAAACATCCAAACTCATTTCAATCTTTAATAATATGCTAAAGTCCTCCTAGAATACTAAGGTTTAGACAAAACATTATTAAAAAGGGAGTCCAAACTTCATTATCAGTAGTAAGAGAATAAGTGGTGTTTTGGGAAAAAGCGTCTGTACATGATCATAAAACACTCTGGGGGCTTTTAGCTTCATCCATCTGACCTACAAAAACCTTAATGAAAACATTAGAAAGAAATTAAATGCAACTGATTGAAACTCTACAGGGGTGGTTCAATATCCACAAATCAATCAACATGATACACCACATTAATAAAAAAAAGGATAAGAACTATTTGATCCAGTCGATAGATGCAGAAAAAGCATTGGACAAAATATAGCATCCTTTCCTGATACAAACCCTCAATAAAATAGGGATAGATGGAACATACCTCAACATCATAAGGCCATATATGAAAGACTCACAGCTAATATCATCCTCAATGGGGAAAAACTGAGAACCTTTCTCCTATGGTCAAGAATAAGACAAGGATGTCCACTCTCACAATTACATTTAACACTGTACTGGAAGTCTTAGCCTTAACAATCAGACAACAAAAAAGAAAGGCAAGGAAGATGTCAAACATTCATTATTTGCAGATGACATGATACTCTATAAACAACCTGAAAGACTCCACCAAAAAATTCCTAGAACTCATACATGAATTCAGCAAAGTTGCAGGATATAAAATCAGTGTGCAGAAATCCATTGCATATCTATACACCAATAACAACGCAGCAGAAAAAGAAATCAAAGAATCAATCCCACTTGCAATTGCACCAAAAACAATAAGATACCTAGGAATAAATCTAACCAAAGAAGTAAAAGATCTGTATTCTAATAACTGCAGAACACTTATGAAAGAAAGTTAAGAGGACACAAAGATATCGAAAAGCATCCCATGCTCCTGGATTGGAAGAACAAATGTTAAAATGTCTACACTACCCAAAGCAATCTGCAGATTTATTGCAATCCTATCACAATACCAAAAATATTTTTCACAGAACTAAAACAAATAATCCTAAAATTTGTATGGAACCACAGAAGACCTAGAATAGCCAAAGCAATTCTGAAAAAGAAAAACAAATCTGGAGGCATCACAATTCCGGACTTCAAGCTATATTACAAAGCTGTAGTGATCAAGATAGTATGGTACTGGCACAAAAACAGACACATAGATCAATGGAACAGAATAGAAAACCCAGAAATGGACTCACAATTCTATGGTCAACTAATCTTTGACAAAGCAGGGAAGAATATCCAATGGAAAAAAAAAATAGTCTCTTCAACAAATGGTGTTGGGAAAACTTGACAGTCACATGAAGAAGAATGAAACTGGACCACTTTCTGATACTATACACAAAATAAATTCAAAATGGATGAAAGATCTTCATGTGAGACAGGAAGCCATCAAAGTCCTAGAGCAAAACACAGGCAGAAGCCTCTTTGACTTTGGCAGGAAGAACTTCTTACTAGACACGTTACCACAGGCAAAGGAAACAAAAGCAAAAATGAACTATTGGGACTTCATCAAGTTAAAAAGCCTCTGCACAGCAAAAGAAACAATCAACAAAACTAAAAGGCAGCCTATGGAATGGGAGAAGATATTTGCAAATGACATATCTGATAAAGGGTTAGTACCCAAAATTTACAAAGAACTTATCAAACTCAACACCCAACAAACAAATAACCCAGTTAAGAAATGGGCAGAAGACATGAATAGACACTTTTCCAAAGAAGATATCCAGAATGGCTAACAAACACGTGAGAAGATGCTCAACATTATTCATAATCAGGGAAATACAAATCAAAACCACAATGACATACCACCTCACACCTCTCAGGATGGCTAAAATTAACAACAGAAGAAATAACAGGGGTTGGTGAGGATGAGAGAAAGGAGAACTGTCTTGCACTGTTGGTGGGAAAGTAAACTGGTGCATTCTAGAGAACAGTGGATGTTCCTCAAAATGTTAAAAATAGAACTACCCTACAATCCAGCAATTGTACTACTAGGTATTTACCCAAAGGATAAAGAAAAATACAGATTCAAACAGATTCAAAAGGATATATGCACCTTGACATTTATAGCGGCATTATCAACAGTAGCCAAACTATGGAGAGAGCCCAAATGTCCACTGACTGATGAATGGATAAAGAAGATGTAGGGGATATACACACAAATATATAATAGAATATTACTCAACTATCAAAAAAATGGAATCTTGCCATTTGCAATGACATGGATGGAGCTAGAATGTATTATACTATGTGAAATAAGTCAGTCAGAGAAAGAGAAATACCATATGATCTCACTTTATGTGGAATTTAAGAAAGAAAACAGATGAACATACGGGAAAGGGGACAAGGGAAAAAAAGGAGAGAGGGAAACAAGCCATAAGAGATTCTCTTTTTAAAAATATTTTTAAAATATTTTATTTATTTGAGAGAGAGACAGAGAGAGTGAGAGAGAGAGAGAGAGAACATGAGCGGGGTGAGGGGCAGAGGGAGAAGCACACTCCCTGCTGAGCAGGGTGCCTAAAGCAGAGCTCTATCCTGGGACTCCAAGATCATGACCTGAGCCGAAGGCAGACACTTAACTAACTGAGCCACCCAGGCGTCCCGCCATAAGAGACTCTTAACGACAGAGAGCAAACTGAAGGCTGATGGAGGGAGGTGGGTGGGGGATGAGTTAGATGGGAGATGAGCACTAAGGAGGCCACTTGTTAGGATGAGCACTGGGCGTTGTATGTAAGTAATGGATCACTGAATTCTAATCCAGAAACAAATATTGCACCGTATATTAACTATCTCAATTTTAAATAAAAAAATAAAAATAAATAAAAGTCTGAATTAAACACACTGTTGTACCTGCTCCAATAACTCTTTCAATGGTGATGCATGAAGCTTCTATCTCCTTGGCAAATTCATGGACAGCTTGATTGGGATCCTCATAGGTGTGTGGATCAATATAAGTTCTTACTCCTGGCAGTTTAACTGGAAAAATAAATGTTCGTTAAAATATAACTGCTTGTGATGGATGAATGAAATCATAAACATTATTAACATGCAACTATGACTTAAATCCCTAATTACTAGAAATGGCCAAGTTGCAAGGACAGCCCCTCTTCTGAGTTATAGGAGTCATTTATATAGCTATGTCATTTTTATAATTTTAGAAATCTGGATTGTTGTCATGTACAAGAAATGCATATATGACAACATATTTGAATAGATATATCTTTCAACAATAATGTTCATAGAGTCAGTCTCTGAGGCAAACTAAGATAAGCTTGTTTACTAAACTGGCCAGTGAAATGCTAGTGAGTTATTTGTTGTTCTGTTATTCTGTTTCACTTAAAATGCCATCACAGATGAATTTTGGTTTTACAAAAAATAATTTAAAATAATTTTTCTGGTGCTTTGGTCCAGTATGACTGACACAGAAGTCAAAAGAAAAAGATAAGTTCTACCTCTCACTCTACCACTGTTACTACATGGCTTTATCCAAGACTCTAAGGTTCTATGAGCCTCAGTTTCATCACATTTAATGACTACCAGTTTCACAAGTTTTTTTTTTTTTAAGGATAAATACCATTAAATAAGATAGGACCTATGAAAATAGATCCAATGCTTTGCAACATGAATTATGGCTTTAATGATTTTGACTTTTACGGTAACAGCAGAGTGACAAAAAAGAAATTATTATTATTTTTTTTAAAGATTTTATTTATTTTACAGAAAGACACACAGCGAGAGAGGGAACACAAGCAGGGGGAGTGTGAGAAGGAGAAGCAGGCTTCCCATGGAGCAGGGAGCCTGATGTGGGGCTCGATCCCAGGGCCCTGGGATCATGACCTGAGCCGAAGGCAGACGCTTAACGACTGAGCCACCCAGGCGCCCCAAAAGAAATTATTTTTATTTACTTAGCAAATCAACTAACACTACACTATTTATGAAAAAAATGCACGTATTAAAACACCATTAATTAGAACTCATTTAGGCTAATTTTTAAAGCATGTTATCAAAACTTGATTTTCTGTATTTTTAAAAAGGATAGTCTTTTTCAAATCATTGATCGAAGGTTGTTGCTACAGGATCTGCTCATGAAAATTCCTGCTATAATGCTAGAAAAAGAAGAACAAATACTGAGAAATTTTATTTGTTTCATCTAATGTTGTTAGTTAATGATAAATATCTACCGACTGTGCTGGAAGAAATTAGAATTGGTCTGGAAATTTGGTTTGAAATGTAACAGCTTTTTATAAGGTTGAAAAGGTTTTTTTTTTTAAAAAATAACTATAATAAAGGTGTTCTTTGAAAAATTGAATAAACCATCTAGCTGTTGTCTAGAGTCAGGCAGCAATGCCCCTTAGCCCATATGCTTTACAGGAATGTAACAGAACACTTACATTCTCTTTTTAAACTTTTAAACACAGTATTTTGGTCAGTTATGACAAATCTCCTTGTCTGAAAATAAACAAAAATAATAATAAAATCTCCTCTATTTTGTTTTCTCTTGATTTTTTACAATTTGCTTACTGTGCCCATTATGAAAATGCATCTTTTCCTCTTCTGGATCTTGTTTTGCTTTGCTGTAACCACACCGCCTGGAACAGAGTAAGCTACAATTAGCCACATCTCCAAGCGTTGAATCACATGAAGCCCAGAAGCATGAAATGCAATTGAAATGATTGCAGCCCTAACTGATTTTCACCCTAGTAGCATGAAAAAACACCAATCCTTCTTTTGGATGAATCATATTTCCGCCACCAGTATCTCTCAGTCTTGCCCAGATTTCACTGAGAAGTCAGAAGCCATCCAAATCCATTAAAAAAAACCTTCTCTCCACCATACACCACACTCTAGAAATTTTGTTTCCTTTCTTTCTTACTTTTTTTTTTGCCACCTCAGAAGCCTTTTTACAGAATGTACTGCCCAAAATATCTCTCTGATTCAATAGTGTCCTCCTTTCAGTATCTTACTCTATCATCTTTTTTTTTTTTTTCCCTCTGGTTTTGGGATCTTTCTCCACTCAATGCACTTAGATCACTACCAAATTTACCACAACCTGCAACCCTTCTCAGTTCAGCGCCACTCCCCAAAACTTATTCTCTCCTGTTTTACTTAACTACTTACTAATTTCAAAGTCCTTGCAATCTGCTCTTGTTACTGAAAAAAATCTGTCCTTGGAGGTTCACTAATGACATAGTCACCTCATGACTTTATCTTAGTTTTTAATTATTCATGATGGACTGAAATCCCTAACTACTCCTTTTGTGATGCTTCTTGCTCCTCTCTTCATTTATGTGAACTTCTCTGGTTCTCTACTGTCAATCCATTCACTTCCATCAATTTAATTAATACCTCTATTCTGGTTTAATTCTTTTGAGAGTTATACTCTTGTTCCTCATAGATTTATTTTATAGGGATATTCCATTGGCATACAAACAAAATAGATGTGAAAAACCAATCAGTATATTTCTCTTTACTTTCAGTCTTGATCTGTTGACTTCTTTTCCTGTTAATAACCCTGGCAAGGACTTGGCCCCTTTGCGTACAAAGCCTTTGTCTTGTGTACTTCACAACAAATTAGTTGCCAAATCCCAAGCATTGTATAACATAAAAGTCTTAAAATTCATCTCTTCTTTTTCATTAGCTCTACTGCTTCTTCAATTAAGGCTTTGTTATTTTTCATTTGGATTGTTATAAGTGCCTCTGAACTGATGTTTCTGCATTCTGTAACTGTTTTCCTAAACTCTACTAGACATGGCTGTAGCCAAATTACTGTAAATAAGGTACTCTTTTACTGTGTACAGACTCCTGCAAAGTCTTCAATAAAATAATAAGATAAAGATTTCTAAACATAGCCCTAATGCATATTTCCTACACTATCTCTGTTATCTTCACGGACACTGGATGATCTTCAGGTCCTCAAGATATTTCTCCATGCTTCCACACATTTGTACATACTGGTTCCCACACCTAGGATATTCTTCCTAACAATTTGCAGTTAACAAAGTCTAGTTCAATTTTTGCCTTCTTCATGTTTTTTTTTTCCTGATACCCCAACTTCATGTAATCTTTCCACATCTGAACCTAGTAGTTTTCTGTACTCCTCTCACATTGTGATTCCCATTTTGATGCAACATAATCATTTTGTATGTCTTCTGGATCTCTTACTGTTTGTCAGTTTCATAAATGGCAGCAACTAGCATTTAGCTATAAATTTCTGCAGTGACCTAGCGCCTGTCTCAGAGTTGGCACCAAAAATATTTGTCACATAGATGAATGAATAAATGAACGAGTGAATGATATTTTGATTGTGTCCACACAATGACAAGTATTTGGAGAGTTGATGAATACTAAGTTGATGAGGTACATGATAAAACATTAAAACAACTGACTCAGATGAAAATATTTAAATTATTTTTAGTGAAATTCTAAGGAAGTGAATTTACTATTCATAAGGTCTCATAACAAAATTAAGTTTATTAAAAACAAAATTTCCATTTATTTCTGCATAAAGAAAATACAGCCAAAATGACAGATTGACAAAATACTTTCATTACAAAGTTGGTTTAAAACTACTATATGATGTAAATGAAGTATCCAATCAACACATACAAATGATGACTGTTCCTTGTTTACATATTCTATGATATTTCTTAAATATATGTATATTTTGATATATAAATGAAACCTATTTTATTCTATATCATTTCCTAGTGTATAATTACTTATATGTTATACAAAGTAGATAACACACCTTATCTTTGTATCATTTTTGAAAGAAAAATACAATTAACTTTGTTTTATCATGTTAATGAACTGGCAGTTTATTAATAAAAGACAGCTAAGTGAAATTTGAGTAAATTTGAAATAATATACTTAATAGGTATGTTATTCTTGGGTGAGGAAAAATACACAATGGGGATTTGGTGGCTTTTCAAATTTTATTCATAACACTTAGCGGCATTTGCCATCCAAGAGTCTTTAAGACATCTTGAATCAAATCACTGCGGTGAAATGGGGAGAAAAAAACAAATACATAAAATCATACTGAATTTATGTTTGGTCTGACATTTAAGTTATTTTAACGCACTGTTCATAATTTTTCTAGATATTATATTATCCTTTCAATCTTTAATGCATGTGTCTCTAGAGAGAAGCTATTGATACTTTTTAAAATCAATATTCTAACTACAATTGTGTGAAATCATCCTGAGACTTATGTTACTTAAATAATACCAACAAAAAGCCTTTGTTAGAAGAATTCTAAGGAGACCTGAAAAGTATACAAGTTCTTGCAGTTTACTTTAGAAAACAAACATCCATTCTACCTTCAGCTCTCCTACCTTCAAAAGAAAAAAAAAAATAAGCTTTCAAACTTGTATCTTCAAATAGTCTTTATTATTAAATAAGCCTCATGGATTTTTAAATTGCATGCAAATTCCTCATATGAAAATGGAAATAAAACTTTGGATCTCATCTAAAAAGTCATCTGGGAATACCTTGGTGAGGACTGGTTAACATTTTAATACCTAAGGTGAGAGTCAGGAGGGCAATAGAAAGGAGATATTTTTGACTATGGCCATCTCTGGAGCTCTATAACATATACGGCTGCATGTCACATTAACATATAAAATTGAGTTCTGGAAGCCCCCAAAGCATCATTAAAACAAGCCTCAACAAGATACAGCAGGTAGAAGTGCAGCTGACCGAGACTGGCCCTCGAGCAGTGGTTCAGCCTCGCTAACAAAGCATTGCAGGTTGCGTGTTCATTCAGTATCATCTTCTGTACCTGCTCCAGATGCATAATTTTAACCCAACAGACAAACAGTCAATAAATATGCCATTCTGTACGTAAATTATGTCTCCTACCTTCTGGAACCAATTTTTTTTTTTTTCTGAATGGAAAAGAAACAGTTTCTTCATTTTGCTCCATATCACAATTTTAATGAGCTTTGATATCATTGTACTAAAAATATCTGGAGTGTTTGTAATTAGGGGAATCATCTTCTTGTCATTTATACTTATGTTCTCCTAGAAAACAATGCTTTCTTACTGTTTAGTAGTAGAGGTGGGCATGAGAAACCATATTAAATGTAGGCGTAATTCATATTCATTAATTAATATTTATTAAAAAGTCCTAGAGAGACACTTAATATGTAAATATAACAATGACTTTAATAGGTTATTTAGAAACCAGTCTATTTTCTCCCATACTTGTCCTAAGAATTTGAGTAACACATCCTTGATGATACTAATTCTGATCTTAAAAACTTAGCCTCAACCATAACATCTAAATTTGGATATTTGAAATTTCCATAATAATGAAAGAGTAAACAATTATCTTTATGTATGTATGGATGGATGTGCCAATGAGTAATTTAATTCTTGGATGTAAATTAAGAATCTGATAATAAATTAGAGTATGAATGTCAAGCCCTCCAGAGGACCAAGCAATGCATAAAATTAGTAATTTACTAAATGGCACCCTTATGGCCAATGAGGAAAGATGAGTGAAAGCAATAGCCAAAGGAGACTGTAAATCCTTGTTCAATTACAGCTTCCAGAGAATCAGAGTTTCCTAATTCTTTAGCCTACAGAAAAACACTGGAAAAAAAAAAAACAACTTTTTTTTTTCCCCACTGAATTCTATATAAGGAGGGGTGCAATGATGGGAGAAGAAATAGTTCTGCATTTCGATTTCTTTGAAAGAGTGAACACATGCAGTCCCTAGGTCAGAAATAAAAACTTCTGTGTTGCATCTCTGTTTTCCAGATTGATTAAGAAATGCCTTACCTATATTTTAAAGTAAAAATAATATTCAAAAGGCAACAAATAGCAGCAGAGTTGATTACGTTTTACTTATGGAAAATAAAATCTTGTAATTTAAACCTCTTTAAAACCACACTTCTCCAAATGTGCACACTCTCATATTCTTACATAATAATGACCTCAACCACTGCGCATAATTTGTTTAAGAATTTTATTGCTAGCATCTTAAAAAGAATAAGTTACAGCTTCTGAGGAAATAGTTTGACTTTTTCACTTCAGGATTCTCTCCAAATAAAAGTAGTTTTAATGAAAGCTCAGCTAATTCAGCCTCATAAAATAAAGAAGCATATGAACACCAGCTTATTAATATATCTAATGAATACTGGAAATAGATTAAGTTTTGTTTTATGGTATGATATTCTTCAATAAGAATGTGAGTGAAAAATGTAGTGAAATGAGATTATGGATATTTAGGCTGTATTGTTTGCAGGATCTTGACTCTCATTCATATATTCCTCATTCATATTCTAGGGCACTGTGATTTTTGAGTTCCTCATAGATAGGTTTAAGTTCTACAAAAAATGATCTATTATTGTTTACTGAAAATTCTCAAGCATACTTCTCAAGAGAAATGTATTCATGTTGAAAATCACCCTTTCCTTGGGATATGGGTATGGAGTGATTATACCACACAAAATGAAGGCATAGCTTGCAAAGTTCCCACCTCACATTCTGTCAGGATACTAACCACCCTATGATTAAAGGCAATATGAGACACTAACTTATTTCTTATTTTATGTCTTACGTACCATTTTTAATGTCCATATTCTAAAAGAAAAAGAAAAAAAAAACTACCTTTGAAATAACAGCTTCCAAAATAGTATAGTACATACGAATTGGTAAGTTTTTCATTAATGAACTCTTCAGATCATTTTAGAATTAGCAATAGGAAAACTTAAACACTTTCAAATACTCAAAGATGAATTGTAGACTTTTCAACATTGAGTTAAATTTTCATTGACTTAGAATTTTGATATAAAAATACATTTCATAAAGTATGACGTGAAGACCATCTCCCTGTTTTCAATAAATTTTGTTCTAATGCAAGAGTAGGTAATATCCTATTAACTTTTAAACTATTTTGTGAATATGACTATTGGATTTCTCCATTAGAGTAGGTCCACTTAATATCTTCTATAACATCTCCTACTTGAGGTTCCACAAGTATTATAAAAAGGGATTTGGGAGCAGTTCATTGTTGTATTTTACATAGCAAGCCTTCAATTGGAATTTAATATATTCTCTATATATTGTAGGCAAGCCTTACATCTGCCTACTATGAGCACTTTAAATGGGGGTCTAGAATTATAAGGCATAATTTTATATTTTATGTCTCTCTCTTAACTCTATAAAATGGAACAGTACTTCCACATACCTCCCTGGCAGAAATGTGAAGATTAATGAAATAATCTCTGTTGTATGTATGTGGAAATACAAATTTGCTCACTTCAAATTTTAAGAAACGTTCACTTAATATAGAAAAAGAAAAATAGTTCATTGAAACATTAAGATAATGTTTTTTTGTTTTTGTTTTTGATTTTTAAGTAGGTTCCACACCCAGAATGGAGCCCAACGTGGAGCTTGAACTCAGGACCCTGAAATCAAGACCTAAGATCAAGACCCGAGCTGAGATCAAGAGTCAGATGCTTAACTGCCTGAGCCACCCAGGCGGCCCAAGATAATGTTTCAATATAATTTGTGATCTTTTTGGTCAGAGAAAGTTGTTTTGGTTTTGGCCTTAACCTCTGCATTATGACAGAAGCTAGAGTTTTTCCCTCATATCTCTGATGAATAATATTTTTAAAAATCTCTAAAAAGTGAGGTTGATTTCATAAAAGTCACAGGATAGGTAAATGAACCTTTAATACCTCTGTTTTCAGAATATAAAACTCCATTTCCTTTGCCACTTGAACACTTCAGAAAAAGTAGCAAGTGATAAGAATACACTTGAAAAGCATGAAAATTAATGAATGAAGAAAATAGTCTGCCATATGTTTGAATTTAAGAAATACAAGGAAAAGGTATTTGGGGACGATGGGATCTTTCAGATGGACTTATAATAAATATTATGCTATAAACATATTTTGGTTTTTGTAAACATAAACACAAGTGAATATTAAGAGATAAATGTTTTTAGAAATTACACACATTAATGTTTTATTTACATTAAAAAACAATCCATTCAACACTGGATATTTGTAAAAATAGAATTCCTTTGAGAAGCGATATAATAATTAGAATCTCAAGACAGTTATGATGGCATAAAGTCAAAGATTGCCAATAAAAAATACCTCTGCTAAAAATGCAGGCAAACTTGGGTGCCTAAAATCTAGGCCTCTAGGTTTCATTCATAAATATTGCAGAAATATTTTCTATTATTGGATAGACTGAAGTCAAAGAAGAAAGAATATTTGAAATATTAACATTATATATAACTGTACAGATTCCACACAAAGTGGGCAACTAGAGTAATGAAAAATAATTTGAGATCAAAGGCGGCAACATCTAATTACCAATGTCATCTTATAAATGGTACACCATACACTTGAGAAAGAATGGTGCATGGTTTTCTGGTGAGAGACATGACACAGCAAAACTCACAATTCTGGAGAATTGAAGAAGCTTTAATGTAGTTGAACTGCAGGATCAAAGATCTCAATCAGTGGTTTCAAAATTGTGCTTTTCAGACCCTGAGATTTCCACAAGGTATGTCAAGGTACTTTTAAAAGCCAGTATATTTACAGTGGGCAATTTTAATTGCATTGTAATGTAATGCATTGCATTACATTAAGGTCAAAGCCAACCATACATGAATGGTCTTTCTAAAAATGAAAAATAATGAGATTTCAAAATCTCAAAATGTCTAACAACCTTTGCTCTATAATTGTAAATATGTCTGTTCACAAATGCTGATGATAGAATGTTCCATTGGAAAATATTTATGTGGTAATTGACTCATACTGATATGAATATGCATGAAATTAGATGACAAGATTTCAGGTCAAGATTTTTCAGTATTTCAGTATTTTCAGTAGTTCAGTACTGACTGTACTAGGAAAATTATTCTTCTTAGCCCTTAATTTCCACTATAAAACGTTGTTTTCAATCAATGCTTTAATCTAAACAGATAGTATTTTTAACTGAAACCTCATAGTGACTTGACATTCCATTCTGAGACAGAATTTCAGAAAACATAACAATAAAAACATCTTAAGCTTCCATTCTTTCCCAGTAATAATTTTAGATAACTCTCTTACAGTTTAATTTATGTAAAATCAATTAAATTTTCTTTCTTCTGCTTTATTTTGTTTTGTTTTACTAAGAATGCATTAAAGAAATTCTGGATCTTCCATAAATTTTTCCACAAAAACTGTTAGCATTTTATTAGGCATCTAACCACATTTGTGGTTAATTCATTCATTCATTCATTCATTCATTCATTCATTCATTCAATGTGTGTGTGTGTGCACATGTGCACACACACACACAAATACACTCACTGCCTCCACGATTACTAATGTTATTTGAATAAAAATTTTAGAAAAACATTTCTGTTATCAGGTTTTCTGATGTGTTCTTTGTGAAGGAAGAATTCTGCCTTTCCACTTTTCCTCTTTTATTTATTTCATAAACTCCCTGGAGCCAACTGAACAGTGGAAAAAGATACTGTTTTTATTTTATTTATTTATTTTTTATTATATTATGTTAGTTACCATACAGTACCTCATTAGTTTTTGACGTAGTGTTCCATGATTCATTATTTGCATATAAAAGATAACTATTTTTAAAATCAAGCATTTAAAATCTAGCTAAAGTTTGTTTTTGCCAATACTTTCTAAGTCATGTCTTCATAAATTTTTATACTCTCGTTAAGGTTATATTTGAGATTTACTTCAAGGTAGGCCTGGATGTCGATCTTTTTTGCCAAGATGTAAATTCTGCTTATTCTACATCAGTGATGATGTATATCTTACAACAACTATACTCAAGACTCAAGTAGTGTGAACAGTTCAGCAACTATTTTTTTGTTTGTTTGTTTTTAGCTTTTCATAGAGTGGTTAAAAAAAATCACAATGTAAAGCTATTTATGTTATACTTTAGCCATTGCCAGATTTCAGGTTTTTTTGGTTTGTCACCAAAACCCCATGCTCATAAAAGAATTTTCAGAGTAAGTTAAATCATGTGAAACAGATCTGTGCTTCCATATTAACTTCAAAACTTTTTTCAAGTACAAAAATTTCAAAAGACTGAAAAAAGATCTCTGAGTTTTATCAATCTGCTTGTTACTTTCTCTCGTTCTTAGAGGATCACTGGTATCCATTCCACCATTTCTCACATGCACACATGCGTGCGCACATATTCACAGCAGTTTTCTTAATCAACAAAAATTAATTTATACCTAGAGAATGCAAGTTACAATTTAAATTACCCCAAGGAAACCCTATACTTCTCTAAAATGCATTTCAGAATAAAATGCATTTCAGAATCTCTCTTCCTGGCAAATTTTGACTACAGATCACAGCTCAATACAATTGTGCAGGGATTTAGACTCTTTCATCTGGGCTAAAATTATCTAGATTATTTCACTTTTTACAAGATAGCTCATTATTGTGTAGGAGTCCCTCTAAATCTGTGGATAGAGGTCTCTGGTCTTTCCTCCTAGCCTATAGCTTTATAGCTATAACCCAGATATATATTTAGGATTTGCATTTCTAAGTAATTAAGACTATCACATTTGGACACTGATCCCCAAAATGTGCATATTTTTTACTTCACTAGTATCAAGTAAGAAATATCACTTCTAATATCTAACATCTGGACTGTAATCCAAACTTAAAATATTAAATAAACCATTTAAAATTACATGTGGTTCTATTCTCCAATGCCACATGTATACACAATGATTACAAAAAAATAGAAGATCCCAGTTAAGTTATGGTCATTCCATGGTTCTGGGAGAGCGAAATGGTGATTTCACCTTGAAGCAGGATTTCAGCAAGAATTAGCATTCCACTTCCATATATGATATGGTTTTAATCTTAATGGAACAACAAACACAGCAACATGTTAAATGTAAAACAGATGCTCCAATCTTACAACTTCTGGTTTAAATCAGGACCACAGTAAAAGCTCTGGAAGAGAAGTATGAATGCTTGACATAAGGATGATGTGCTATGTGTATATTTTATTTGAAATTATCCGTTATCCAATAACTTGTTCAGATTCCCCTTTGGAAATCAGTTTCAATCTACTCTTCTTTTAGGCACAAGTGGTGCACTAACTGTTAAAATGTACACAAATGGAGAAAAATAAAAAAGGAATGCTGACGATAATACATATAGGTGGGACATTACATAGGAGTGAAAGCGGGAGGGGAACACTAACCATATTAGGCTTGGATGGGCAACAGCGCACAGGGAAGAAGCCCTTCCACAGCCACACTCGCAGCAACTGAAAAGCAAACAAGAGAGCCCAAGATAAGGAAGACATCCCACTCCCTCAATATAGCATAAAGACACTATGAATTTAGACAGGTGTCTGTTTTGCTTTTCAAAAGCAAAATCCCTAAATGCATTACAATTAAATTTCTTCCACAATGCCTTTCAATTAAAAAGCATTTTATGGACTTGAGAAATACAGAACTATATTAAATAGTTATCTATATTTTACTTAAAATGCTTATTCAGTAGGAAATATAATGAGCCAATGCATTTGATTATGCAATTAATACAGACATACAAATAAAGATGTAAGCCCATTTAAATATATCTTTCCTCGGAAATTCCTGCAAAATTTATATTCAGAAGACGTGCTAAATTGTCCTTTAAATACATGTTTGCATAGAGCCTACAAATTAGGAGGGAGAACAATGTCCTGGTAATTTGACCCACTGATTTCATATGCCAGTGCCGATGGCATTATTTATCACAACCTATTGAAAATGTTACGCTTACATGACTTCTCCAATCACCTATGGAAAACTACCAATTTAAATTTACGTATTCAGACTTAAAAAATGCATCTCCAAATATATATTTGTAGAGCTATTATATTTAAAAAGCAAGCTATATATAATACATGCACTTTTCTGGATATTACAACATTTAAGATTCTTTCAAATTTTCCACATATTCATAAAAAATCCAGAAAATACCAAGTAAATTGCTTACTAAAACGCACTTTATCGTTAGAAACCACATAAACTGATGGCAGAATATAACATAGAAGTTATTTAGTGCTTCAATGCATTCACTTGCTAGTATATTTTATGAATAGTGTTTCTAGTGATTTCAAGAGAACTGCAAAATGAGCTCAGCAATGATACATAAACCAGCAGGCCTAGGGTTTTGTCTAAAATCTGTCTATTTTGAACTGTAATTATTTGAAATGTATCTACTCTATTTTATAACAAATAAGGAGAGGAAAGTTTAATATAAACATAACACAAATTTGGAAATGCTAACAAAGGTAGACAACTATTTCCAACTCAAATTCCAAAAATTCCAAAGGGTCTTTCTCAAAGGAAAAGTAGGGAATATTCAATATATGTATATATATATATATTTAACTGATGATGTTTTAATTTTTAGGACTACTAATTATCTGGGAATTTGGCTGTCACTAAAGTGGAATCCTAGTAAATATAAACGGCCACTGTGACACTTATTTCCTATTTGACTATTTATTATAATTTATTTTTAAGGAGCGCCTGGGTGGCTCAGTCAGTTGAGCATCTGCCTTCGGCTCAGGTCATGATCCCAGGGTCCTGGGATCAAGGCTCATGCCCAAGGAGCCTGCCTATCCCTCCCTCTGCCTGCTTCCCCTGCTGCTTGTGCTCCTCTCACACACACTCTCTCTCTCTCTCTCAAATAAATAAATAAAATCTTTAAAAAAATATGCCTTAAAATTATTTCACTGTAGAGATAATGTAGGTATATCAAAATATCAAAATACTTAAAGAGTAGTTAAAACATGTGTGAAATACTTTGGCAGATCTTACTATATTTCTTTATAATTATATTTATTTCCTTAATGTCTTAAACACGTACTGATCTCTTATATAAATAAATTTTCCTGTTTCTGTTTGTATCAGCACTCAGATTAGGGGTTGCCCAACTACAGCCCTTGAACCAAATCTAGCCTACCACTTATTTTGTAAATAGGGTATTGCTGAAACATAGCCAAACTCATTACCTGTGTGTGGCTTGTTTAGTACTGTTATGACACAGTTGAGTAGTTATGACAGACAATGTAGGGCCCTAAAACATTTACTATCTGCCCTTAAAGAATGTTTGCCTTCCTCTTTTCTTAGACTATTAGTTCCCTAAGATGAGGATGTTCTTTGATCTTTTCTTTTTCTTCACAGTTTGAACAAAATGAATGGCATCCATAAGTAGTCAGCGTTTTACTATAATTGGTATTAACTATGGCACAATTATCTCATTTGCTGATAGTTATTAATGTGGAAAGTTTGCATATATGTGTTAATTTCAAACAGCACAGTTCCAACTCAATAAATAATAAATAATAATTGTTGACAAAAGTATTTGATTACTTTTCAATGATTCAAAAAAAAGGATGATGAGATCTCCTAATAAAGTACAAACATACTTCTAGTTATAAACTATACACAGTTTATAAACTCATGTAGACCTGTGTTTAGGAAGATGGTAACTTCACTGTGGCTTGCCATTACCTAACAGGATTTAATATTCAGCCAGTGTCCTGAGACAAAAACCACACTAATGACCCTAAAAATAATATTGTTTCAGTCGTCCTAATTTGAAAATTTATAATAAGGTTTTTGTCTTACAACTTAGTACACACACACACACACACACATACACATGCTATTCACTATAACACTCAATCCACAAATTTTAGTCTGGAAGAACTTAAATCACCTTACTACCTTACTTATCACTAGAATTTTAATTTAAAGTTTTAATAAACTTTAATCAAGAATACGAAATCATGTAAAATCAAACACTTGTACTTCTATTTTCTTATGAGTCATTGCTTTAGATTTTGCACTGATAGTGTCTGACTTATTTTAAGATAGCACAAATAAATTAGCTTGGGTAAATTAGTTAACCTCTTTGTATTTCAGTTGACAGCTATAAAATAGGAATAATAACAGATCCTATCTCTACAGTTTTGTGAAAATGAAGTGAGAGAATATATATATTCACTTAGATCAGGATCTGGCATATAATACATTTTGGGAGAAAAGTGGTAGCTTAGTCTTAGTAATATCATAATCAAAGTGATGGACTAGATTCTTATTATCTCAGAGGAATTGTTTTTTTCATGATCCATATAATATTATCACACCAAGTATTTCCATTTATAATATAACTAAATAGCTGATTATATTCAGACCGACTCATATAAATACAGAAGGGTCAATGTAATTTTTTGAAGAATCAATTCCATAAAATATTTTTTCTAAGGATTTAGTAGTGATCCCAGCATTCTATGCATTATTAAGAAGATTAAAACTGAAGTTCCTTTACTAGGACTATCGAAAGTGTAAGAGTAACCCTCCAAATAAATCTTTTAAAATAAACTCTGAGGATGCTGTCACAGTAACACCTCAGCACCAGATGGTATACATGCTCTTTCCTTAATCAATAAATACTTGAAGTACAGGTTGAAAATGCTTACAAGTCTCAGAGATAATTTAGAAATAGAAACCAAAATGTGCTAGAAATAGCAGCCCATCTAATTTCTGTGAGCGATGGCTCCACACAGGCCACATCTGCATCCTCTTCAGTCTGTAGCACCTGGAAGCCTGCAAGTAACTTCATGCAGCTATCACAAGATCATTATTAGCTAAGTTTAAAGTAGTTTAGCTCTTCCAGGCTTATAATAAAAAAAAAAAAACTGTGGGTCTTTGTTTTAACAAGATATTTCGATTTGTCCTTCAGAAGATTAAAATATGGTAACAGAAGCTTTCCAGACCAAAAAAGATTCAAATAAAATTACTTTAGCCAGGACTTAACACAGAGTTGATCAATATATGCATGAAGTGTGTCAATGTAAGTAAGATAACCTCCCTCCTACCAAAGTAAGGTGATTATAACTCTAGGGAAGAAATTCTCAAAGATACTAGATCAGAGAACCAGGACTACAGGCTATGGATAAATGATTTAAATTCTTAAACAAGAGATCATACAAGCAGATAAGAAAAACACTAAGATCCTAATAGATAAATGAGAGAAAAGCAGGAAGAGTAAGTTCACAAAACACGTACTTTAATTAGGTAACAAATATTTTCAGTTTATTGGTAAAAAAAAATTAAAAAGGGGAAGAAAAAAAAGGCTCTGCAGTTTACCCCTTTTAAATAAAACAACGATAACAACAACTGATGGTACTCAGTATGAGAGAAAACACAATGGCTCTTAGGCCACCGAAAAGTTGCACCAAGCCTTTAGAACACAATCCTATAAAATCTATTAAAGAGCAATAAAAAAGTCCTCACCTTTTGACACCACTGTGAAGCCAAAGAATTAAGATCATGGGGTTTATAGTCAAACTAGGAGCAGTCCTGGATGCAGTCATTACTATATAGATCATTTGGGTAAACCAGTCATTGATGTGAATGAGATAATAATAGAAACTATTCCACATAATGCAGTTTCGAAGAATGAGTTTCATAATACATGTGAAGCTCTTTGCACTGTCCCAGGCTCACAGTGAGCACTTTGGAAGTTTTAAAACTGATATTATTATAATAATCTGGTCTTAGGGCAAAGAGGGACGTGCAGAGAATATGCATGAAGTTGGCCATACTAAAAGAACTAAATAATGAATAAATATTTTGAAGTAAACAAAATACATTTGTGGAGTCTGTGATGCAATGAAAATCAATGAGTTATATATATATTAATCAGTGTGCAAAGAAATAACATGATGACAAAAGTGTTTTTTTAAGAGCTATTGTTGGAGTGTTACATTAATTAGCATTATGGGGCAATTTTAATTTTCCCTGATTTCAATTTTTTGTGGTTATTTCTGCAAAAATCTTTTGCAAATACTGAGCAAGGGATAAAAAGCATAATTATAATATATACGTGGCTCCCAAACTCTACTCTTTAGTCCCCATGCTTCTGGCACAAAGGCATAAAATGATTCCACCCTAAAGAGAAGGTAATACAAAGTGGTTATAAAGAACTTTTTATTTTATTTTTTGATTGTGTCTTTGAGTAACTCTGAGGGGAATACTACATCTACCATACATGTTGGGATTTATATGTGCAATTCAATCACTATTTCCAAGTCACAGTCTAGACAAATTAGAATAAGATATCATTATATGCAGTAATTTTTCAAGCTTCTTTTCTAGTTCTGTGTTCTCACTATAGGGCTTCTTATCCCTCACCAACAATTATAAGTGTCTCCTATATGTGCCTCCTTATTACCCCCTAAGATGCTTTACCAACAATGGT